AGTGGCAACAGAAGTTATCTGCTTTGTTTTATTTGGATATTTTCAGAGTTGTGTGGAACCCCCGGCTACCTATCACCTGAAATACTAAGGTGTCAAATGTATGAGGATGCTCCCGGCTACTCATTTCCTGTTGATGAGTGGGCGCTTGGAGTTATAATGTACACTCTGTTGGCTGGTTACGCTCCATTTTATCATAGAAGGTGAGCTTTTCTTTGCAACTTCTTACTCAGATCTTCCAAATGTCCATAGCAAGGAGGCCATTGTTCACAAATGATTTCTTCACTTCTTCACGTGCGTAATTCACTTTGTATAATACTACGCTGCAACAGGGTTAAAAATAGTTTTTGGTAGACACCATTCTGGTCTTTGTTACACTAGGACAAAATCTTTTCCTTCCCTTCGCTTCTCCTTCTCATCCCCTTCCTCCTCTCCTCCTACTCTCTCCCTTCCCCTCCTTCCCTCTCCTCGTCTTCTTAAAAACTTATAAAGCTGTTTAGTCCTGCTTCGAAGTTTCCGTTTCCGAAATTGCAACAACCAAAACCATTGAAATTTACGTTGAATACGATTAGAATCTATACCGATGACATTCTTAGTATTGGGAAAAATTATTGAGTGAATGTGAACACTTACAGTTATAGCTGCCATCGATTATTAATGTATATACTTTTATTGATTAACTATCAATAAGGAGAATTTGTTCATCATAATGATACATGTCTACTCCAGACTGAATATCTTTTGCTTTAAAATTTTCGTTCACTCGTTTTTGCTCCTTCTTAGCATGCTTGATCTCAGGCAACTACTCATGATGCGAATGATTCAAGAGGGACGATACGAGTTCCGTGCCGAGCAGTGGTCTACAATTACCCAAGAAGCCAAAGATGTTGTTAGTTTTCTAATTTTTCATTCCTTTTAAAAGCAGCTCTGGTAGTACAATCTGAAGTTAGACAACTGCTTAGTCAAAAGGAGTTGATCTGAATGAATGGAGCGGCGAAGTATTCATTATATGTAATGTTGCATGCATTCGGAGGCACAACTTGCCACAAGTAGAAGTTTCATCGCTTTCTTGATAGTTTTTTGCATGTGGCAAAAACTTAAAATGATTATACGTTATTGTCATAGGGCCTTGTTTAGATTTCTGGGCTTTTAACGGTTCCTGTATCGCAGCGTTTGACATCGGCAAAATGCTTGCTTATGCCTTGGATGAACCCCGCCGGAGAGGCTTATAATAAGCCTGATATGCGCAAATTGTTTAGACAGGTGAATTTTGCCAAAAATTTTTGTACTCATTTACCTTTTTATTTATTTTTTCATTGATTCGATCTTTAATCACATCTTGTTACTTACTAAAATACATAGTTGGCCTGCCTTCAGTCATCACGCAGGCCCGTGCATTCTTCACATCCGTTTCTCTTGTTACATCACCCACAATGTTTTTCTTCAACTGCGACGGCGAGTTCGCGAGATCCGGATTTATTATGAAAATTCAGCTGATCCATACGTGCAAAATGCGTCAGCTTATCAGGATGGGACCTCTAATCGTGGATGTTTTGCTTTGCAAGAGATCCATTACAAAGTTCCTAGTATCCAGTTGTCTGTCCTTCTTATAACATGATCAGCCCGT